GTGTGTAGGAGAGAGTTTTATATAAAGGGTCACTGTATATTAAGAAAGCAACCCAACCCAGTCCAGTCCAAGCCCATAAGTCTGATATTAGCCCATATGTCTGATACCAATCTATAAAGTCCTCTTCAGACTCATGAAACACATGCAATGATGCCAAATGCAGGATGACCAGAGGCCAGTGGGTGGAGAGTCTTTGGATCCAGTGGCGTTGTAAGCATCTCGGTGCTGGCAGGGGTCTCTATGTGGCTTCTCCGGTTTCCAGGGCTGTATCAGGGTAGGTCCATGTGGCTTCTCCAGCTCCCAGGATGTAGCACCATGTGTCTTGTCAGTAGAGCGTTGTCTCAGGGAGTGAGCGGAGAGAGACAGTGTCTTCCGCCTCCAAGGAGGAAATCCCAGAGTTTTCCCAGAATCCTCAGGGGAAGGCAATGCCCACACAGGCTTCATGGGCTATGATCCGATTGACAGACTAGGCTCCACCTGTCCACTCTTAATCCTCTCAAGTCCCAAATTGACACCAGATTATGTAACTACCAGAGGGTCTGACATTTCATTCGTCCAAGCTGTTCTGTTGAACTCAAACCATCTCACAGTCCAGCAGAGCATGGCAAAGAGCAAATGATGTCGCTGTGAAGCTCACAAAATACCCAAGACCCGCTTTTCAGATGACTGCCGTGGCTTTACCAACGACAGCTGATATTATCCTTGTTCTAGTCCGCACTCTCCAGGGGCGGGGTTCATCGTGATACCCAATCATAGAATTGCTCCCAATCTGGCGCAAACCCTTGCTCTCCTAGGCCCTCTCCCAGATCACGCCACCAAAGCCCAAGGCCTATCATCAATTCTTCCTAAACTTGAGTCTAGGAAGCTATCTAGTACTGTTATAACAGAAATACAAGTGGTGACTCACACACAGAAAGTCGTTTCTCATGGTTTAGGAGGCTCAAAGTCCAAAGCCATAGTGTTGGGCTTTAAGGGAAGGCCCTTCTCTTTTCATCCTCTGCTCCCTGGTTCCAAGGAGACCCTCATGGGGCATGGCATCACTCGTCCTCTCGCTCTGCTCCCTTGCTTCTCCAGTCCCTTCTACATCTCAAGAGAGCAAAGATTCCCAAATGGGATTAAAACCACAGAGGTTAGATTTACCACATGTATTTGCAGGGGGACCTGATTCAATCCATAACACCCTCTCCCGGAGACAAGCCATGGTACGGGTTCCCCAGGAAGTGGGTTACCTCACTGCTGCAAGTCATAAGCCCGACTTGTTCGACTACAGGTGCGATTCTGGTTTATTTATCTATTTAAATCATTTTATTAGGGGCTCATACAACTCTTATCACAATCCATAAATACATTAATTGTGTAAAGCACATTTGTACATTCATTGCCCTCATCATTCTCAAAACATTTCCTCTCCACTTAAGCCTCCGGCATTAGGTCCTCATTTTTCCCCTCCCTCCCCGCTTCCCCCTCCCTCATGAGCCCTTGATAATTTATAAATTGGTATTTTGTCATATCTTGCCCTGTCCGACGTCTCCCTTCACCCACTTTTCCGTTGTCCATCCCCCAGGGAGGAAGTCACATATAGTTCCTTGTAATCGGTTCCCTCTTTCCTACCCACTCTCCCTCTACCCTCCCAGTATTGCCACTCACATTACTGGTCCTGTAGGGATCATCCGCCTTGGATTCCCTGTATTTCCAGTTCCTATCTGTACCAGTGTACATCCTCTGGTCTAGCCAGACTTGCAAGGTAGAATTCATGTCATGATAGTGGGAGCGGGGAGGAAACATTTAGGAACTAGAGGAAAGTTGTATTTTTCATTGTTGCTATATCGCACCCTGACTGGCTCATCACATGGAAGAACATATCAGCCTGTGTGATCACGAGGTGTCGAACGGATCACTGAAGACAAATGGGTGCATAAGCAAATGTGGCGAAGAAAGCTGATGGTGCCCAGCTATCAAAAAGTGTAGCATCTGGGGTCTTAAAGGCTTGAAGGTAACCAAGCGGCCACCAAGCTCAGAAGCAACAAAGCCCACATGGAAGAAGCACACCAGCCTATGCAACCACGAGGTGTCGAAGGGATCAGGTATAAGACATCATCAGAACAAAAAATCTTACCATAGTGAATGATGGGGGGGAGTGGAGTGGAGACCCAAAGCCCATGAGTAGGCCACTGGAGATCCCCTTGCAGAGGGGTCTCGGGGAGGAGATGAGCCAGTCAGGGTGCAATGTAGCAGCGATTCTGGTTTTTGGGTGAAGCCCATTAACACTGCTCTCTACAAAAGCCATGTTGGTGTTCCATGAGCCTGACCACAAAGATTACAATGAGGGGTAAGAGCATAATGCTCAGTCCAATCATGCTGTCCCCAGACAGCAAAGGCACATTCAGGCACTGGTGCATCTTTGACTGGAAGGGGAAAGACCCAAGGCTCTGGCTCAGAGAAGACTCCTTTCTACTGTGCTCGGCAGCGGGCAGAGTTGCTGGTGATCCTGCCACTTAGCTGGGGTTTAGGGTTGTGGGGTGAAGTGCTGCATTGTAAGAACTTGGGTTGGGTTACAGGGGCCTGGGTCAGGTGAGAACCGCTCAGGTGGAGGCTCTGTGAAGGCAGGGGACAAGATGATATGATCACAGGTCCCATCCATGCACTGGTTTGGTTTCTCTAGTTCTCTTCCTGAAGTGCATGAATGAACAGTTTATAAAGCAGATGATTAAGTTTCTCACCCTAACGACCCCCACACCCTGCTCATGCACAACCATTTGACCAACTGGGTGAGGACCTTAAATCATTGGATTGAAGTTTGTACACCTTAAGATTTCCTCCAAAGTCTTTTTGCTGAGTGGCGGTCGCCAGTTTTGTGCGAAACTGCAGCACAGTGCAATGAATTCCAGCGACGGCCTGTCCAGCTCTATAAAGACCAGCTTTACAGATCTTACCGAGTCCTGATGTTTCTCTGTGGTGACCTGAGGGCGGGTAGGGAGAAAGTCGGAGCCCAATTCCACGGCGCCTTAGAGATGGCATCGTGTCATTGCTGCCAGGCAAAACAGCCAGTTTGCCACCAAGCTCAGAGCAGATGGGACGAGCGTTGTAGATATACTTCCCTGCTGAATGCCGTGGGCACACAGTCGTGTGTAGCTTGATAGTCCTAGTTTTGTACCGTGATAGGCAGTCAATAATGAAGTGCCCATTTGTTAATTTTCTCTAATAAATAAATTTTACCTGAGGCTGTCCACCACGCAAGGGTACACATTTTGGATGCAGGAAATGATGAGGAGCCACCAAGAAGCCTGGCTGGTCGATGGGCCCCGGGGAGACTAGTGCAGGTCCTGTTGGCTTCTGTAGACCTCATGCCGTCGATGCTCAGCAAACAGCAGCATTTCTAACTTCCTAGCCTATTTTAGGGTTTGCAAGCTTAAAAAGAATGAGCAGCTTCCTTACAACTCAGTCCTGCTTTTCTCCTGACACAAATGCTTCAACAGGACAGGCACTAAAATATCAATTAATGACTCCAACAGTCACCAATTAATTAATTCAACCAGAAACTCCCCAGTGCCTGCCTTGTGCGGGCACTAAAAGCTCAAAGTCAGGACTTGCAACCCTTAATGAGACCTCAAGGGATCAGCATTTCAGTTGAGGAAGACATCTCCAGAAGGCAAGCACTCCATCACAGAGGTGGGCTATGGAGTACAGCCAGCCAGAGGATAGGGGCCGGCTCCTAAGCATCACCTCTTAGAAAGCAGGGGGCAGAATGAAGGGTCAGTCAGGAATCAAGGAAGAGGTCCAAGCTCTTAGTCGACGAAAAACGGGTAGAGGAGGAACCACTGTAGTAGAGTGAGAGCCACGGGAAGATTTGATGAATCAAATTTAATGAACTTTGCTCTTTCGGAAGGAGATGCACTACAAGGACTCTACTATTCATTTACTCTCCCAGCATGGCTGCAAATGGGGAGTCTGGTAACCTGAAAGCATAATGCAAATTCAAAACATTTAGAATGCATACTCTTTGTGGCCTCCGTCCCAAATAAAGCTGTTGTCATGGAGTGGATTCCAAGTCGAGTGACCTGTGGGCAGAGAACTGTCTCATAAGGCTTGTAAGGTTGTATACAGTCTTCACAAGAGCAGACTGCCACACTGTTCTCCCATGGGTGGCTGGTGGGCTTAAACCACTGACCTTAGCGTTAGCAGCCAAGCACTTAACCGCTTTACCAGGGCTCTTTGCATACCCTGTAGGGATGTCGTCCTGCCTCCAAACCCAAAGGTGTTGGCAGAGGGTAAGAATAGCCACTACCAAACAGCACCCAACTGTCTGTACATTGATTGCCTTTCTCTGGGGCATTCTTAAATGCCCAGCGACAAAGGCTTGACCAAATGATGCAAGTACCTAACCACACAGGGCGACCTTCAGGCGAGGAGTGAGTAGGAAAGCACCAGAGAAAGGGGCATTGATGTCCCTTGTTAGATGCCATCAAGTCAGTCTGGACGTACGCCAAACAGAAAGAAACCCTGCTCAGTCCTGCCCCATCATCACAATTGTTGCTGTGTTTGAGCCCATTTTTTGCAGCCACTCTGTCAGTCCATCTCATCCGGGCTCTTCCTTTTCCACTGCTCCTTTACTTTACCAAGCAAGACGGCCTTTTCCAGAGACGGGCCCTTCCCCAGTCTTGTAGGCTGGGTTACATCAACCACAGCACCTCACAATGCCTGCAGTGGCGGGGGGAGGGGGGGGCAGTTTGGAGATAAAGGAAATGGAGTGAACATCAGCAGCAGAGAGAAAGGACCAGACAAAGAACCACTGGCTGGCCTGTGAGGATGGAGCATTTAAAAGGAAAATAAATATCACCTAGGCCCTGTCAGTGACATGGGAATTTTTAGTGTCATTCACGTTGATGATCACAATCCTACATTTCGCAGTGACTCCCTAGACGGGAATTTGCATTCTCTTACTGTGGGATTTCATCTTTGAGAAGAGAAGTTAATAACCACTTGGTATGATGTGAAGTTAGCCTAGCTCTCAAGAACCTAGAGTAAAAGAGAACTCTGGGTTTTCGCTCTGAGTTCCCTCCAGGTATTCGCTCTGATTTTCCCCCATGGGAGAAAATATGCAAAAGGGATAACAGAGTTCACAAAAGGCAATTTTGACTGGAAGCCTCCCCTCCTCCTCCTGCGTGGCATTAGAAAGACCGCAGTCGGACCTGGCTCTCGTGGTGTGTGCTGTTCACTTGAGGATCTTGGGAATCACCTAATCACGCACCCTCAATTTTCAGCTGTGTGAAGGAGATACAGAAAGACCAGTGACTTGGCCAGAAGTGGGGGTTTGTGACACCCTAGATGACGTCTCTTATCACATGCCAGGCGTAACTGTCCAGTTTGCCGGTCTACTCCCTGGCTCCACCATGACGCCGATCAGATGAAGAAACTTGTCTCTTGCTTCCACCCTCCCCTGCAGCCGACGTCCCTTTGGATGGATTCAGACTTGGGGGTGGATGTACGGCATGGCTCATCCCCCAGCCTCAGTCTAGTCTTTGGCAATGGTACCCCTGTGCCTACCGAGGTCGGGAGATTTAGTACGCTGGAGGGTTCCTGCCTATCTCTACACTCTGAGTGTCCAGGGGTCCCTCCGGACAGGCCTGTCCCAGGCCAGAAGCTTCTGCCTGGGCTTGTGCCTAGGATGGGGCTCATATTAGCCAGGGTGACTGGAAAGGGTTTTGTAGCTGGCTGAGGGGAGGCTGGTTGGGCAGTGTTGCTCTCTACGGAGCTCCTCCCAGAGCGGGACGTCCGTGGCAATGGCTTGCCTCGTTGGGGTGACGATGCGGGACCCTCTATGATGGCACTGAAGTAGAGTGAAGAGCCCTCCTGACCTTCCCCTCCTTTCAACTGCCCACTCACGGCCCTGCCCTGGACCACAAGGGCTAGGGCTTCCCCAGGCAAAGCCCCAGCTCCTGTCCCGGGGCTGTCTTCCCGCTGGGAGGCTGACAGGTCCTGAGTAGGTGCGCTGTGGTGATGACTGCTGGTGAAAGAGAGGTAATGGGAGGTTTCCCAAGTCTCGGGTTCTGCTTTTGGGACACCTTCAGCCTCAGAGGCGTTCTCCATGGCATGGGTGTTCTGGGGCGATGGTGGGAACTCCCGCTCGAAAAAGAACCGCTTCCTCGGGTGGTCGTGGTGGCTGCTGGGCTGACTTGACGGCCACCCAGTGGGGCAAAAGCAGTCAGTGCCGTTCTCTCCAAAGGCTGCGTTGATCTTTGACATATTTCCAGTCTTTAAGGCAAGCTTCACCAACAGCCAGTGATGGTGTCCCAGGGAAGGGTCCTCGTTGGCGACCTGGCTTCCCAGACCCGCCTCTGAGGGGCTCCACTCTGAAGGACTGGGGGGCGGGCCCACACATGCCAACGCAGGATCTTCCGCTTGGCACACACCGGGGCTCTCCAACTTCTCCCCAGTGGGGGCCGCAGGCCTGAGAGAAGATCCTTTCTCTGCTTTATCACCACCTGCCATGCCACAGGACTTCCTGATGAAGCCCTGCCAGATGTCTGGGGCCTTTGGATGGAGCAGGCTGTAATAAATTACCAGTGAGACGGTGCCTGAAAAAGAACGAGGAGCATAAGGTTATAGGCTTTGAAGCTCCACGTGGTCCCTGTGGCTTGCAGATGCTCAGGTTCTGGCCACTGCAGGCAGAGAAACAGAACAGGAGTAGCATCAGCCAAAACAGGGCTCTGAGGGAACATCAGAACAGGACGTTTTGGAGAAATTTGAGTAGGAACCAGCTTCTATAATATGAAAATAATCTCTAAACTTAAAACAAAAACAAAGAGTTATACACATAGTATATATTTACTGATCCTATGAAGTCTTCCCTGAGGACAGTTCCCATCAAGTACTCTGCATAGGGATCAGCATGTGTGCATACGTGTGCATGCATGCCTATGGGCACGGTGTTTGTTTAAAGAACCAACTCTCTTTTCAAAGATCTGGATTCAATGCTCAGACTTAACCATCCACACACCAGTTGCTAGAGTCCAAAGGGGAGGTGGGGTGGGAGTGGGGGTGGATAGGAAGTCTTCTCAAAAACAAGTAAGACCTAAACAGAGGTTAAACATGCTCATCAAAAACCCAGATCAAGGAATTTCCATGACCAACAACAACACTTCCTTTGTACATAAACACCTTAATCACATTGTTGTCAGTTTAATTTATTTTGATCAGAAGTGTTGACGACGGCAATAATTTCTTTAACAGAGCATTCCAGTAATCCTCCCACGTTATTTCCAGTTTCCTGTTTTACTGGATGGAGTGCCTTGGTCCAGGGTGCTTGTTATAAACAGCAGAAGGCCTGAAGTAAGTGCTGAGGAAAATAACCCCAGGGGGTCAGGACCCTGGCCTTGAAAGAGCACGTGTTTTAGTCTGGTTGTTAGAGCTGCTGAGTCTGGTTCAACTCACAGTGACCCTCTAACAGAGTAGAGTGGCCCTCGAGGGCAGCGGTTCTCACCTGTGGGTCCAACGACCCTTTCCCAGAGGTCACCTAAGACCACTGGAAAACACATAAATATCTCACAATATATAATTACATATAGTTTTGTGATTAATCACTATGCTTTAATTATGTTCAATTTGTAACAATGAAAATACATCCTGCATATCAGATATTTACATTAAGATTCATAACAGTAGCAAAATGACAGTCATGAAGTAGCAATGAAAATAACTTTATGGTTGGGGGGTCACCACAACATGAGCAACTGCATTAAAGGGTCACGACATTAGGAAGGTTGAGAACCACTGCTCTAAGGTTTTCTTTGGTGGTGTACCATGTTATGCATTAAGCTGCTACGCCCAAGGTGTTAGTAGTTCAAAAGCCGCTGCTCCATCTGGGAAAGACTGGCAGTCTTGGAAACCCACAGGGGCAGTTCTACCCTGTCCTACAGGGTTGCCACGAGTCAGAATTGAGTTTTTTTGTTAGAAACAAAAAATAGAAGTTTATTTCATATATGAATTGCAAATCAGGGGAACACCTGGACTCTTGCTGCTGCTCTGTGCTGCCCAGTCAATTCCCACTCACCGTGAGACAGGTGAAGCCAACCTGTTCTCACCCAGCAATTTCTACAGATTTTGCTAATGTCACTGATTGTAATCCCTACAACTGTAACACTACTTATCTCACTTTATCCCTGCCTTTCCCTTTTCTATTCCTCCTTCTGGCAGTGAGATTTTAAAAAGCCTTTAAATAGGGTTTCCCAGGCTGTAATCATTATGGGAGCAGATTCACCAGCATTTCCACCACAGAGCTTCTAGGTGGGTTTGACCTGCCAACCTTTTGGTTCTTTGCAGAGCACTTAACTGTTGTGCCTGCAGGCCTCCTGTGAAACAGCTACCCGTTTCCCCGAAAGTAAGACATCCCCCGAAAATAGGACCTACTTACAGTTTTGCTTCTTGCTGAAATATAAGGCATCCCCCCCAAATTAAGGCCCCTGAAGCTACCGTAACTCTGGACTCTGGACCATAGCGGTGGGCGCTGCCACGCAGCTCACTGTTGGCTGCAGCGCAGCCTGAGCAGACAGGAAGTGCAAGGTCTCTTTTAATGAAACAATAAACAATTAATGTGTACCGTATTCTTCTTCATGGAAAAATAAGACATCCCCTGAAAATAAGACCTAGCACATCTTTAGGAGCAAATATAAGACACTTTTTATTTTCGGGGAAACAGGGTATAAGGAAGCTAAAAGCTGGTCGCATTGGGTGCTCTCTGTGTCTCACAGGGGACTGAGGGCTGGAGGGGGAAGAGGGCACATAGTGGCGGGGCTGGAAGTTTGGGAAATGGAGATGGAGTTACTGTGTGCTCAGTATTTACCTGGAAGCAAGCACTGTTCACACCTCTGTTTCAAATCCTTAACATCTCCCTGGGAGCTAATTCCCATCCTCTTCCTTTGACTATGTGCAACATCATGCCCAGACAGATGAACCCAGCTGTCCATGATCAGACAAGTGCTAAGTACCACTGTTCAACGCAAATGCACTTCCTGAGGCCACCTCATTTGCAGGTGTTATGGCCGCTGTCCCAGGCTCACTTGCAGGAGGCACTCAGGAAAGACGGAAAGTAGAACAGCCAGGATCTGAGCTAGAGCTGTTTGGCCTTAGAGTCAACCTTTTTTTGATGATAATGGAGGAAGAATTTGGCAAGGGACACTTGGTAGTCAGGGGTGCAGGTGGCCACCAATGGGCAATTCTCCTCCCAGAGAATTGTGCTGGGTATAAAAGGCAGTCCCCAGAGGTTACATACTCCAAGTTCCATTTACATAGTATTTGTGAGACGATATAGTTCTAGAAAGGAAAACAGGGTCATGGTTGCCGGGAGTAAATGGGAGGCTGGTGGGGAGACGGCGGGGGGGGGTGGTGGGGGTCAGCTGGAGGGGGTGTGGTTGTCAAATGCTAACCTGGAGCTCCTCTGGGTGATGGGGATGCTCTTTCTCTATCCTGACTGCATTGCTGCCAATATCCTCGCCCAGACACTGCAAGAGGTTGCCATTGGAAAAACTGGAAACTGGCCAAAGGGCACAGGAATGTCTTTGTATCCTTCTTCCTAAAGCTACATATCTCAAAAGAAGAATTTTAATTGTGGGCCTGGCTGAGCAATGCAAACAAGCCACATTCCTGCTCTTCAATGAAATGAGGACAGATCTTCAAGTACAAGGTAGCTCGAAAGACAATTCAGGAATCACTCCCAGCCCATGCGCAGATACTGATCTCTCTCAGTGTTACTGGGGCTCAAGATCATTTTCTTCGCCTAGCCATGCAACTCACATGCCAGGCCAAACCCTAGCTACTTATAGAAGGATCCAACTAGGCAGATAACTCTCTTTTTTTCTGGATGAGCGCCCCCTGGCCCTCCAGAGTAGCTCCAGTGGTCAGTGTGGTCACCCATTGCGCCTAAGGGCCTCCTTTAGGATATGGGTGACCAGAAAAAAGTCTTTGGGGTGAGGCAAGAGGTAAAGATGGTGAGGTGCTATAAACAACTAGAGAAAAATACTACTTGGTCATGTTTTACAAGGCTCTGAGACCCACTGAAGGAGACCTGCTGTTGGAACAGTTTAAATTTTGTGGTGAAGCGAAATTGCTTAAGTAAGGCTCTTCAATCCATGTCTCAATACCTCCAACCAAATGATTGGCTAAGACCATGCAAATAAGGTGTGTGAAGCTCTAAGAGAGGGGCTTGGTTTACCCATTCCCCTGGGTTTGAGAGCACAGCAAAAGAGAGACTGGATGAGCCGCCAATGGAGCACATGCGAGGGCCCTGCCCTGCCAGAGCTGGTGGATGGAGGCAGCAGGGAAGCCATACTGCTGAGATCATGAGTCAGTGAGGCAGACGGGCCGCTGGGCTTCCTGGCTCAGGGAGGCAGAGGCCAAGGAACCCTGTAATTGAGAAGCTGAGGACCTGAGAGAGATTTGGCTGCTGCCTGAGAAGAGGCACTGACTGCTTGGGACCAAAGCCCCACGTTTTCTGATCCTGACTTGCGGTAGCCTGTTAACTTCACTCAGAGACCCCTATAATCGTGAGCACTGCCTGTGTGTTCTGTGTGGCTACTGCAGTGAATTATTAAACCCAGCAGAGGAGTAGAACGTCATGGAATGGATGGCTGGTATGAGAACAGGTGCAGAAGGCTGGAAGGTGGGGGCACGTCTGGCTTCTGCCTCGTGGCAGCTGGCCTTGGGCTGGTACTGGTCTGGACCCTCCTTCTCCCTACGGAAGCCAGAGGAGGTCAGGCCTGGCCCTCACGCCATTTTCTCCATTACTCAGCTGCTAAGCGAAGGGTTGGTAGTTTGAAGCTGCCCAACAATGCCAAGGGAGGTCAGCCTGGTGATTGACTCTCATAAAGGTGATAGCCCAGAAAACCGCACTGGGAAGTTCTATCTGTCATATAGGGTTGTTAGGCGTTTGAGCCGACTCGATGGTACCCAACAATATGGCAGGGTCCCAGGGTGGTAACAGTGGCTGCTAACTGCGAAGCTGACCATTTGAATCTCCCCGCTCCTACTGGCACCATGAAAGATAGGCCTGGTCTTCGGCTACCATAAAGCTGACAGCCAAGACAAACCCTACGGGGCAGTTCACATGGAGTCGCTCTGAGTCAAAACTGACTTGAAGAAAGCAGGTTGTAGAGCCCGTGCTCAGGCGGCACCTTGCCTGGGGATTTCATGCAGGCGATGCAGGTGGAAGCGGGTAACCTGAACTCTGCTGAAGGTTAGGAGCAGAGCCTAGCAAGGCTTGTTCACAGTCAAGAAATAGTCTGAGTTCAGGGTCTCTTCCCTTGGTCTGTGAGGGCCTCACCATCCATGGAGCAGTGAGCCCCAGCCCTTGGCCTCTCGAGAACGGAGCCTGAGTGTAAGATTTCCTGCCGATGCAATTCCTGGTGGGAAAACCAGGTAGGAACAAGGTGCATAAAGGCGACATGGGTACTTACCAATCAGAAATCCAGACATGATGCCCGCTATCCTCCACAGGTGGCTCCATGACGCCTCCCGGAGGACATTCGTGGCCAACAGCAACAGGATGATGTTCTCCATGAGCATTATCTACGAGACCAAAGGGAGAGCGCACCTCACCAGGTTGCTCCCATCGCCCCGGGCCCCCCAAGTTAGTGTGAATGGGAGAGGGAGTTTCCTCGGTGTCCGTATGGCTCACTAAAGTGTGCAGAATCCCAAATGCACAGGGAACTTAAGGGAACAGACCAACCTGCAATATCGGCTGCCCTTGGTGAAGCAAGAAAAAAAGACTTGTCTTTCATTTTATATAATCCTCGTGGATTGCTTTCATAACAGAATGATTAACCATTGCTGTAGATTCATAAGTGTCACCGGATTTCAATGAACTAGACTACCTCAAGAGACTATTTCAATAACGAACGTCCATTAACAACTCTGCCATTTCTCCCCCACGTTTTGCCTCTTCAAAGCTGTTTGGTGTGCTACCAGCAGGTGGCAGCAGGCATGTGATCTTTGCTGGGGATGCTGGGTCTCTTTAAAGTCAAGATAGCAAAGCTGTAACAGAAAACTTACTGTCCTTTTGACCCAGGCTGGTTTATTAATTTCTAATTCTTAAATAGAAAAATGTTGCTTCATTATGTGAGCAAACATGACACCATTTAAAGGTGCTATATTTAAATACTGTCAATGAAATACTTCAGGCAGTCCTGTGGCGTAGTGGTTATGCACTGGACTGCTAACCACAAGGTCAGCAGTTCAAACACCAGCTGCTCAGCAGGAGAAAGATGAGATTTTTCTGCTCTATAAAGTCTCAGAAACCCAGAGGGGCAGTTCTACCCTGTTCTACCAGCTCGCTATGAGTTGGCATCCACTCAATGGCAGTGAGTTAGGTTCTTGGTTTATGAACTACTCCGGGAAGACACTCAAACAAACGTAAACCATAATACTGTTACTCTAAACGCTTCTAAAGCCCAGACAATTTCATGGACTCACTTCAACTCTCAAAAATTAAAATGACGAGAGATCAAAAAGCTGTATTTGGAGCTGCTTTACAACTCGAAGCCACGGTCTTTTCAGTGACCTCCTCTGCTTGTGGAAGGTGGGCGACGAAGGGAGACCCCAGAAGAATGGGTGCTGTTGGAGACTGCTGACGACAGGGCCCACCAGGACAACAACCAAAATCCGTCTTGGAAGAGTACAACCGGAATGCTCCTTCGGAGCATGGGTGGCGAGACTTCGCCTCAACGTAATTTGGACATGCGATCAGGAGAGACCAGTCCCCGCAAAAGGACATCAAGTTTGGTAAAGCACAGGGCCGGTGAACAACAGGAAGACCTCCGTGGAGATGCTGGACACAGTGCTCAGACATAACTATAATTGTGCGGCTGGCGCAGGCCCAGGCAGGACTTTGTACGTAGGGGAGTGAGGAATCGGAACCGACTCGATGGTCGCTGACAACAGTAACAGCTCCAGCAAGGTCCAAACCGAAACTCGCTGCCATGTCTTGATGCCAACTCCCAGCGACCCCATAGGACAGGGTAGAACTGCTCCTGTGTGTTTCTGAGATGGTACCTCTGTACGGTACGGGAGTAGCATGCCCCGTCTTTCTCCCTAACCATATCCACTCTGCCCATGTCTTTGAACTCTGGGTGGCATTATTTACAAGTTCAACAAGTATTACATCAGTATTAAGTGGCATTACCCAGTGGTCCAATCCAGAAAACTTGGGAGGTGTTCTCTTTCTGCTTCTCAATTAATCACATCCAATTAGCTGTCTGGTACTGGGGATTCCAAAATCTTAAGTTTATCTTGTTTTTTTTTATCATTTTATGGGGGCTCGGACAACTCTTATCAAAATCCATAAATACATCCATTGTGTCAAGCACCTTTGTACATTTGTTGCCATCATCATTTTAAAAACATTTTCTTGAGCCCTTCGTATCAGCTCATTGTTTCCCCCTCTCTACTTCATGAACCCTTGATAATTTATAATTATTTTTTCATGTCTTACACTGACCAATGTCTCCCTTCATCCACATTTTTGTTGTCTGTCCCCCTGGGAGGGGCTTATAGGTAGAGCTCTGTGATCAGCTGTGTTAGTCTGGGTACTTTAGAGAAAGAAACCCACAGAAACTCATGTATAAGAGAGAGCTTTATATAAAGGTTAAGTGCACATCAAGAAAACATCCTAACCGAGTGCTGCCCAAGCCCACAAGTGCAACATGAACCCATATGTCCGACACCAATTCACAAAGTCCTCCTCCATCTCCCCAAACACACACAATGATGCCGACTGCAGGAGGAAAGCCGAGTCAGTGAATGTGTAAACATCTCAGGCTCCACACGGCTGCTCCAGCACCCAGGGCTGCATGGGGTAGGTCCAAGCAGCTTCTCCTCAGGGATGTCTTGCAGGAAGTGAGCCTTGCCAGCTAAAGCAGGCATCTGGCTAAGACAGCTGCACCCTAGTCTAACCACCAGAAAGCAAGAGACCCAAGAACTAGAAAGGCGAGGCTCACTGAGCCATTTATCCCTCCGCCCTTCAATTAACCCATGTGTTTATCGGCCAGGTTGGCACAATAAACTAACTACCTCATCGGCCCTCGCTCTTATCTTGACTCACATTCACGCTCTGGCTCAATTATTATCTGGGCTCCTGTGTGCACCTTCTTTACCATCTCTCGGCGATGTCCCCCTGCCATCAGAGTGATCCATTTTACTGCAGGTCCGATCTCACAGCACCTTCACTTCAGGATTGGGTTTCTGCTCTTTGCCAGTGCAAGCTGACCTGCTCGCTATTTGACCTCCACCTTCTTTTCTAGGTCATCTTCCAGCACGCTGTCCCCACACTCACTCTCCTTCCTGTGAAATCCTAATTTCTCCATGTCTTTGTTTTCACAGCTTGGCCTCACACCGAATTCCGGTGGCAGAGTGGTTATTCTTTGGACTACTGACAGCAAGGTCAGCAGTTTGATACCAACTGCTGCCTCACAGGAGAAAGAGGCAACTTTCTACTTTAGTAAAGAGTTACACTCTCAGAAATCCACAGAGGCAGCTCTACCCTGTCCTCAGTGCTGCTACAGGTTGGAATTGACTCTATAGCAGTGAGTTTACCTAAGATGCCCTTACAGCCCTCCCTCCCCACTGTTCCTCTTCTGGGAGGGAAATCTTACTTATCTCCTAAGAGCTGGCTCAAGGGTCACCTTTTTACAGCTACGTCTCAGGATGTGCTTCTCTTTCTGCCTCTTGTATTCTTTGGGGACTTTGATAATATCACTTCTCTTATTTCAGTGGTTTCCATTAATTGTAGCCACTTAGAGTATGACCTTCTCACACCCTAGAATCTAATTCCTTTTCTGGCACCGAGAAGAAGCCCTTGTGTGTTCAAGTGAATCGATCAATGAGTGAAAGAGGTTAAAGTTTCTCTTTAAACGGAAACAGAGGCTCATTCCCATCTCTGAGGAAGGAGGTTAGGACAGACGCATGGTTCACCGTGGGGCTGATAATCACACTCAGCTGAGGCTGGTTCCAAAGACGGGTTCCTAGGTGCCCTCTCGCAGTGGTTCTGTGTTGGGCTGCTAACCGCAAGGCCAGCAGTTCGAAACAACCAGCCCCACTCCGGAGGCGAAAGAGGGGCTCTTTACTCTCCTAAAGTGCAGCGTAGCAGAAACTGCCCTGTCCTCTGGGGTGGCTATGAGTCGGCGTGGACGCGTGGCAGTGGGTTTGGCTTGGGGTTCCCACTCAGGCCTGTCAAATTACAGTGGGAGGCGAGGCCTGGGAATCTTTCTTAGTTTGGGAAAACTGCTTGAGTGGGAAAGCAGTGAAGACCAGGTTTAGAAACAGTCACGCTGGTGCCTCCTATGGCCCTGCCATCTCCCACTCTGGAATCCCGACTCCACGAGTTCATTATTCCCTGTGCCAGGCAGAGAGGCCTGCAGGGCAGAACCTGGTCTATAACAATTCATTGGAATCTCGCCTCTGTCTGATTAAAGGGTCCCAGAGATTAAGCGACCAGCTGCTCAGAAAGGCGTGTGTGTGGGTTGAAACCGCCGGCAGTTGCAATGGAGATGCGTACTTCTGCTTCGGTAAAGATTCTACGGCCTTGGAGCCACAGGGGGACAGTTCTACTCTGACTCAGAGGGTGGGTATGAGTCAGCATGAATTTGATGGCAATGGGTTTAGACGGTCTAATTAGCCACATGTTGCTCAGCAGGACTCTGAACCTTCCTGAGCCTCAGTGTCATCCTCTGTAAAACTGAGTTTTATCTTCTAGTTTTGTGAGAGGGAGGTGGAATAAGGTGGTGAATGTAGGACCTTGTCTGGTGCATAATCACCAGATCCCACGTGTTGTCTGTTATTAATGTGTTTGCTATCAGTCCCAGGACTTCAAGGTAAGAACAGGGAAGTCATGACGAGCTTCCCTGGAGGGAAAACATTCATTTACTGAACAAATGAACTGAGTGACTAAAATGCTAAAATAACTCCCAAAGTTACAACTCTTATCTGGGGAAACACAATTCACTTTTCAACTACTATTCCTCCTACTCATTATTGTTCACTAGTAACCTGGTCCATAGCTAAACAGAGGCCCAGTTCTTCCCATAGAATGGGAGACTGTTTACAATTTCCTGTTGTCACTGGTGAGACCATGGGGGTGGGAGGTGTGTTCCTAAGTGCCATCGAGCCCACTCTAACTCATAGCGACCCTAGAGAACAGGCTAGAACTGCTCCTGTGGGCTCCCGAGACGGTAACTCTTCATGGGAACAGAAACCCTCCTTTTCCTCCAGAATTGCCCATGAGCAAGCACAAAGTCAAGGGGTGATGGTTGGAGTGGCCCTGAGCCGGCCTTCCCAGCACTGAGGCTTCCAGGCAAAAGGACTTGTGGGAAACCTGGGGCTGGACTCTTTCCCGGCTCTTCCCAGCGCGGCAGTGCTGTTCTGAAGGCTGGGCAGGGAGGGCTGCGGCAGGCATTGCACAGGACCATTGCTTTTATAGCGCAGGGCAGATCTCAGGCTGCTCAGGCACAGGAAGGTCTCCACATGGAAATGGTGGGTCTCCAGTGGCTGGCTCTCAGGCTTGTAGGTTCAGACACTGGGCTTCAGTCGTCGACTCAGATGTACGGTCCGCAGGGTCTTGCCACGGAGCCAAATTGGATGAGAAGGTGCGTGGGATTCTTGAATAACGGTCCAGAGAGTCTGCTGTATGCACTGGCTGACCGGCGCCAGGGAGCTGGGATCGGCCAGCCCTGCCCACCGCAGGGCGTGCACTCTCCTATTCTCCTATTCCAGGCCATCCTCTGTGCAGTGTGAGTGGGCACCATCTACTTTCTAGCTGTCTGCGACTGTTCTCCACTGCCGCGGCTGTAATCCCTGTTGTCCTCATCTCCGCCCCCAAATGTGACCCACAGTCTTTCCTTAAATGGGTTCCCGGCTGTCTGGGTGGTTCTGGAAGTTCTGTCGCCTCTTCGAGGTGATGGTTGACGGCTTCGTATTCCCCTCTTGGCCCTGGATGTCCTTAACGCTCAGGTCACCTAGATCTGCCACGTGGTGCTCGGCGCAAGGCTCTTTGCTTTACATCTATTATCTTACACACCCCACCCGATCCACAACCCCTGGAGAGGTAGAAACACTGGGATGGAAAAAGCAGCAAATACATTACAGCGAACCCTCGCCACTTCGCACTTCGACTTCCGCGGCTTCACTCTATTGCGGTTTTTGCGTAACAGCGCATGCTCTGTCATTACTGCCACTGATTGGCTCATACTGTACACGCTTCTGTCTGCATCGCTACGT